AATCCTGTTTGTTTCTCTTTAGAATCCGGAGTAGCTGTATCCAGCCTGGATACCCTGTGTATTGTAGTGGCTTCCATACATGTTTGTTGGGAATGCTGTCATTTCAGCACCTGTGTCATTTCTGTCATTTGACACGAGTCGTCCAATTTATTTCTGTCATCCGCTGATTTGAAGATTAACCCCTTAGAAATGGAGTCCCCCCCCCGTCCCTCAGTGAGGTCTAGAAGCACAAGATCTATATCTAGCCATTCAGCAAAGATCATGCTACATGGCTGTACATCATATTTTGGCATTTGACCAATTAGATGAGCCCTTGAATGATATATTACCCACTGTAAATTAAGTTGGAAAAAAGAGTAACAAGTCAAGAAAAAAAGGTAAAAAGCTAATTGAAAAGTTAGAAAGTAAAGCTAAAGGGTTACTAAGCCTCTACGGTTATGTTGTACCTATAAAAAAAAGGGTTTCTTTCAGTGTTTTTCATGATTTTCTTTTAGAAGCACTTTTGTTATTTTTCTTAATGTATTCGGGTAAATTGGTGTTTCTTGTTATTACATTGACATTCATTTTTGCCATCGAAATATCCATTTTATTTTAATGTTACAAAGATAATAAGGTCTCGTCCTGGATTCCAATTACACGCTACAAAAATGATCTAAAAATTAGTGAAAATGTCTTAAAATAAGTGTATTTACCCATAATTTGAGTAGGTAAATAAGTAAATCTCCCAGTGGAAGAAGCATTTTTATCCTTAAAATCAGATGATTTGATATTATGCACTTTAAATAGGAGACTGCACTTTTTTTTCTTCCTTATTTTAAATGTTAATTTTCTTATTCCATTTGCAAAGTGTCTCATTTACCTGCTCAATTCAAGAAAAAATGCACTTATTTTAAGAGAAAATTACTTAATTTAGATATTTAAAGTATTTCACTGAGTGCCCTATAAAGGGTTAACTAGAAAGTTATTCCCACATTCATTTCATGCATTTCCTCAGACCTGCACTGTCCTTGATAAATAAATGTCCTTTTTACCTGCAGTTATTGCAGGTTAGTACTTTGGCAGTAAGTTGCTGAAACAAATATTAATGTTGAACAAGGCTTGGCTTTATAGTCCTTGTCTGGTGTGTAGTTTGGTTCTGCTGCCCCCTTGTGGTTTTACACGCACACTGTCAAGTTGAGCAGAAGTCCTGTCTTGAAGTTGGTTTTTAGCTTTTCTTGACTCTTGAAAAAAAGATCACTGCTTTGATCTACTAACATTTTGATAAACGTGTGAGTCTAAAGTCCATTTACAAGCTCTCTGTCCGTCTCATCGTGTAACGTGCTTTATCCAGCGTTCAGCTGAACAACACAAAGCGGTGATGAAACAGAAAGCCGATTCATGTCTCGTACTGTTGCTGATTAAACTATAATCTTTCAAATTTTACATTTCCCCAGGGGAAAAAAGTTAGACTTCACTGCACATTTAGATTTATAGAGACCAGGGATGCAAATTATTGAATAATAAACATGATTTAAAGTTGACTGATCTTATTAATAGACTAACGATTGATAAGCAGCCATCTTTAAAAACTTTAGTTTTTTTACTTGTTTCAAGATATGTTCATAATGTAAAGGGATAAATATACAATATGCTGAATTAGTGCCAGCTAAAGAAAAGATGGTGAAGCAATAACACCATGTTCTAATGTTTGATATGCACAATTAACCTCTAAAACAGAGACAGAGCGCAGACATGTTAAGGTTATGATGGAACATTCATTTACCTATTCCCCCCAGCAACACCCAGGGACATAAAGGTTCCTACCAGTCTGTTAGTAAAAAAGATACACCGCATGGTTTCTAACAGCTCAAGGGTTTAATAGCTGAGAATAATAAAATCTGTTTGCCTTTAAACATTAAAGACTTGTTTTACATCTTTTTTTTTCTTTTTACCAGATTTTACATTAATTTGCAAAAGTGTCAATACCTCTTAAGCTTTTTCACACTTTATGATGTTACAATCAATAATGGACTAATATCGTTGATGATCAGATGAAAAATATTCAGCAGCAAAGGTCACGGCACAGATCTTACCTTTAAAGAAGGAGGACCAAGAAGAACCGCCACTTATGAAAGAAAATTTGAAGGCTCTTCATGTTTGGCTCTCATATTTATGTCGTCCTTCTCATGTCTTCCAGGTATGCTCCTGAGTCGCTGACAGAGAGCAAGTTCTCTGTAGCATCAGATGTTTGGAGCTTCGGTGTCGTCCTGTATGAGCTTTTTACCTACAGTGACAAGAACTGCAGCCCTCCAGCGGTACTGAGCCTCTCTGTTCTTTGTGGAACCGTTTCAGTCTGGAACTTAGTTTAGATTAGAAGTTTATAGAGCCCCATCTGATGGTTAGCTACCTTCCTCTGTGTTGCAGGTTTTTATGGAGAAGATGGGGAATGAAAAGCAAGGCCAGATGATCGTCTACCATTTGATCGACCTGCTGAAACAAGGATACAGACTGCCTGCTCCTGAAAACTGCCCAAAGGAGGTCTGCAGCACAGCAGCAGCTGGTTTTTAGTTTGGCCTATGAGTCTGTGTGGTTGTTTACCTCTTTTTGCTTTTTCAGATGCACAAGATCATGATGGAGTGCTGGAGCAGTGACCCCAAACTGCGGCCTACATTCAAGGCATTAATCGAGCAGGTGGAGACGGTGCAAAACTGCATGGATGGATAAGACACAGTGAACTTTTGACCTGCTGGTCAGTCGTTACACAATAAGGATTTCCGGGATAGTTTAGGCAGTGGTCATTAATGATCGTAGCAGTTCAACCGCTTTAAAAGCAAACAAAAGAAAAGGAAAACAAAAAAAAAAGAAAAGAAGTAACGACTACACTACAGCCAACTCAATATTTTGGAAAACAATCCAACTTTTTTTTTTTTTGCTTTTTCCAAATGGTGCAGAAAACATTAGAGCCATGAGCCTGAAGTCCACCCAAACACTTCGTTTTAATCATGGGGAAGTTTTCTATGCTTTGCCAACAAAGAGGTTCCAGTTCTTAACCAGGGTCGGTGCTATAGAACCAAACCTTAACTCCTTTTCCACCATCATCACATCTTTATCACGTAACATCCCTTTAATGTTAGTTACTCCCTGCTTTTATTCGGATTATGGAACCTGGTGATAAAGCAACCTAAGAGGTCATGTGATTTAACCCTAATGTCACCAATTTCTGAATATTGCTCTAATTATCCATTCCTCAAACTCAGTCAGCTGATCTGTTATTCTTGTGCTACGTTGACATTCTATGATCGCTAAAGCACAGTTCAATAAAAACTAAACCAAAGGGCAGAGTTTTAAGCATGGCTTTAACATTTTTTTAGGCCGCTGTACCCCAAGAGCCCGCCTCTAGCTCAAAAATTAAAAAGGTTCTTCCTCTGAAACAACGGTGACGGGTGCTGGCTTAATGCTTTTTTTCTCTTTAGAAGCAGGAAGAACTGAAAAGCTGGAACCTGTTTGATTGAAAAGACCCCAAGGAGACCCACAGTATTGTTCTTTTTCTGTTAAAGTGGAGTTTGGCTGCTCGTAACTACAGCGCAAAAGTATTCACACCTAAAGTTTACTGCAAGCTGCAGTCATACAGAGCTGCACATGGGTAGGCTGGCTTACTAAGAAAGGGAGTTCTGAAGGTATTTTCTTGCAAGTAAACACAGCTAAAGTTAAACCTAAATTATTTAAAACACTGGAAGATTTAAAGTAACCTTAAAAGTAAACATGTTAGAGTGGAATCTGTGGAGAAAGCTAATGATTAGGGTGATAGCGCAGAAGCCCTCCAACCTTCAGATCAAATACTGATTAAAACATAAAAAGGGCTGGAAGTCTCAGACCAATATTCACTTTTCAATTGATTGGGAAAACAGAATAAATAGATTCTAAATTGATTTTCTACATCATTCAATAATCTTACGTTTCATTTCCAAACAGAAACAAACTTATTGTAATAATAAGAACTAGCAAACTTAAAAGAAATAGTTTCACATTTAAATCTTCCAGAAAAATGAATGAGGTTTAACTGTACATTTGTAAATGCACGCCACACTTTCCAGGTTTTTTTTTAAAATCAAAATAAAAAAAACAAATTACAATCCAGTAACTTCATCCTTCCATTGGAATACATGGAAGCTGTTTCAAAGTAACATACAGAAAAGATCTGAAGGGCAGAAATAACTTGAAAAGGCAGCATAAATAAGACTTTGAGGATTCTATACTTCACACTTATTTTTTTTACTAGTGTCTTTAAGTTACATTTTTGGGATTTTAAACAATTTTTCTTTGAAATGTTTACATCTTTTTATGCAGAATTTATTCTCACAAACATGGATGCCATTGGTGCTTTCTGTAGCCTGCATGGTCTGTGCTATAATCAAGTTACACTGTAACATCTCTGGGTTGTTTTTTTTTATTACATTTTTATGTATTTTCTTAATGCATCATGTATTCTGAATGTTACAAGGCTAGAGTATTTGCTTATGATTTTATAAAAGGAGATACGCGGATGTGCTGTAGCTCATTGCAAGATGTTTATTTTAAAATAAAAGGGACTCTAGGTCATTTAGACCTTCAATATGTATGTTTGCATTACATTATCAACCATAAATGAGATATGGATTGTTTGTTTCTATTTTATTTCATGTGACTATTTTGTTAATATTTATATGTGCTAGATGTTAATGACTGAAGGCTTTAGGTGTGATGTTTTTTAGCCATAAATAATAAACCCTCATCCATTTTTTTTATTTTGCATTCAGTGCCTTTTATTTGTTGAAACATTATTGGAAAAAAGATGGGGAAAAAGTGGAACTTCAAAAACAAAAATATAGGACTTAGGTTCAGAGTATGACTCCGTTATTCAATGCTGCGAAACAGGGCATCTTTGTTGGACTTGTATAGCTTTGACTAATAATGAATTATATTGTTTGTGCTTCAGTGTGTTCATTTGTAAAGTGTTTATTTCTACCAAAGATTTTTTTATATTCTGCCTACTGGTATTTTCTTTCCCCACGTTTGTTTCCAGTAAGTGGACTGAACTTTTGACTGATGAATGTAAATCGCTGTAAATGTGTGATGTAAAGATATTCTGTTTATCCATTTAAGCCAGTAAAGATTTATAACATTTTGGTCATAATGTCTGGAAGATTTTTTTTTTTTTTTTTTGATATTCTAAAAGTCAGATTCTTGTTTTTGTTGGCAACTTAATTTCAGATATTTACCACTTTGTTCCTCAGGGTGATTAAATAATCAGGAAGATGAAAACCCTGAGAAAAAGCTTTTTTTTGTCTTGCTTTACTTTAATCTGGCAAAAATAAAGGTCACCATCATTTGAACACATTGACACTGCAAGACAATCATTTTAACAGTAATTAAAATTTATTCCATGTTTAAGGGAAGGTGAATCGACATACAGAGCATGTTTTGGTTCAAATATGTAAGAGGCTAATGGCTGCTATCACACAAGTATAAACCAAATGACTGTGCAGAGCCTCATCTTTAGTTTCAGCTTTCTGTCCCTTCCTTCCTCAGCACAACCGTCCGATATCGTTCTTGGTGCAGCCTTGGCTACAGCACATCCCTGCCACGCCCAGAGAAAAGTTCCTCTTCTTCTTGCTCGTTACGAGCAAGTCAGCAGCTTCTTTGTTCTGCTCAGCAGAAGCCCTGGATGAGCTCAGCTGGCTTGGGAAGCTTAAAGATGACGGAGGTCTTTCATTCGTGGCTCTGTAGAGGGTAAGAAGGTCTGCTAGGGAGTTGGAGAAAGATGTGGCAAAGGGGAGAGGAGAGTCCTCGTCCCTGAGGTCTGTACCGGGGTGCCAGGTCTTCTGTTCGTCTTCAGCTGCAACATCGCCGAATGCGGTCCAGTGGGACGGGTCTTAAGGAAGAAGAAAAAAACGTCACAAAAGTTGTTAAATGTGTTTTTCCAAGAAAAAAAAAACAGTAAATGATGGATTTAAAAAAAAAAGCCACTTTATTATCCCCTTTCCTTCAAAATTCAGCATTTTTTTTAAATTTATTTCAGTCTTAAATAACTGCACTGAAAAACACAGATCATATGTTCTGCAGTCACATTAATTAAATCTGACCTCTGACTCTAAAGCCTCAATGAATAAGTAGGAGGTTTGACTCACCCGCTCCCTCTTCTGTGGATCGTTTCCACCGGGAGCCGCCGCAGGTGAAAATGACGGCTCTGATGAACTCTCTCCCGCACAGTTTCACCCCATAGTCCCTGGGCATGATCAGTCTGCTCATTACGTTGGTTCCCACGCTGTCGCACGCCCCTCCGACACACATCACGGCTAAGGCAACGGTCACTCTCCACAGCATCTTCTCTAAAGGCTGAAACTATAACCTAATCAGGGAGCTGAGGAGTTTTTTCTTAGACCCTTAGCTGATTTTTAAATATTTTTTTTACCTGCTGTGCTCAATTAAAGCCCACTTAAGCAAAGACAAATGCTTGGGTTTGCCTGCTTCGCGCCCCTCTGGTTCCCTCTGTGCCAGTGAGACCAACCTTTTATACTGTAGTCAGTAGTTGACTCTGAACTTGTGCGTTTCTGCTGCCCTCCCTTCCTCCCTCCCTGCATCCAACATACAAGCACGTCACTTAGATTGATGGCACTGACGTACTTGGAGTTATTTCTTTCTTGTTGCCACTTATTGCACACACAGTCTATGCAGGAAGATTAAAAAATGTGGATAATGAAAGAAAGATGTTTAAATATATTACAAAATAAAATCGGAAACGATGCAGCAAAATTTATTTTATTGGCTTTACAAATACGTTCAATATGTCAGATGCAAATGATTTAAATAGGAAATAAAAATGTAGAAAAAGGCTTTGGTAAGATGATCCTCTTTATTTCATTGACTAAAATGAAAATTATTTTTGGACTATATGTTTCAGTCTTTCTTCCCTCTGGTGGTCAAAAATCAAACAACAGAAGTTTATCGCACATCTTATCCACTAAGGATAGTGTCTACTATAATTATAATATCCCTCTACAGTGCAGTAAATGTACACATCATAATTCAATGGATCTGAATCAGTTTTCTGCATCAGCCAATCAGCTTTTAACATGAGACAACTGTACAAACCAAAACAGCTAGAGATTTATTCAAAGGTCCGTGATGTGGACTTGATGTGGTGCAAAGCTCTGACTCCAACACGTTTACAGAAGTCAGATCGGACCTGACAGCTGTTCTCTATGATGAAACTAAAATAGCACAGGTGAACGCACCGCTCGGACGGTTCGGATCTTGACTCGTGTCACAACTGATGCATCACTTTTCCAAAAGGGAGATGAGGCCGCTTTTGGCCCGCCGGGCCTTCTCTATGCTCTCAAAGGTCGGCGTCCCAAGAGGCAGGTCCAAACGGTCGTGCTCAGAGGCTATGATATTCTCAGCTTCGCCTGAAGATGCAAAGGAACCAAACGTAAATGTTTTGCAGCATATCAATGTCATGGCCGCTGTCATCGTACTCGCACAAATACAGCTGTCTGTTTTCCCCTGTATGGCAGTAACATTTTGTAAACTCATAATCCAGCCGCTGAAAGTCAGCATTTCTGATTTGTAGTACCATTAATAAGCATTTCTAATCGTATACAAACACTCAATGAATTAGCACCTCTTAACGACTCTTCTAATAATTCTTTTTCTTTCAGGATGAAAGATTCTAGATTGTCGATGGAAAGATGGATGGATGGATGGATGGATGGATGGATAAGGGAGATACTGGATAATGAAGGAAGGATTAACACTAAACAGTTAAGAAAATGTGAAAAAATATGTAAGAACAGAAAGAACGGCAGTATGACATAAGGACGGAAGGATGTTCAGAGAGGAAAAAGAGGTCAAAAGGAAAGAGAACCACATGGAAAGAAGGACAAACCCTTAGACACTAGGGTCGGGGTTAATGTCTCAGATTAAAGGAGGAGTATGTGCATTTATCTCCATTCTCATTTTATGTTTTCATATCTGGAAAATTCTGAAAATATTGAAATTTGTAATGGTAGCAGTCTGAATGCGTCTGAATGTTAAATAAGGACTCAACGTGGCCTTTCAACAAGGAAATGATCCCAAACCCACATCAGAACTAGTTTTTGGATTAACAGAACAGGATCTTCAAAAGTTACCAATCCAAATCAACTATACCAAATAAACCAAACCAATTGGTTATTTATATAGAAACATGTCAAAAGCTAAACGTGGTGATCAAATACATTAAGCTTGTATGTAGAATTTTGTCAACTAGATCCACAATGTATTAAGTAAGTTATCAAGTTTTTTTTTTTTTTACAAATATTTAAGGTAATTATTAAATTATTTCACCCTGAAAAAAGGAAGAACCCAATTTTTAAGGAGACCCACCAATCATGATAGCCTCACCTCTCATCCGGTAAATGAGCGTCCCATAGGCGCTGTCCATCTGATAGGCAAATATGAAGCCCAGAGGGACAATCGGAGCCAACATGGCAGGCCTTTTTCTTTTAATGGCTCTGAGGGACAAAAAAAAAATGTATACATTCTTCATCAACATAGAAAGAATTTCACAAGACCTTATTCAAATAGAAAAAAAAGAAACAAGTTGAGTTTCTTGTCTGTTACAAGTAGACGTGTTATTTTGTGTAACATTTCCGCTCGCGGCATCTGTAAATACCAGTGGAGGATCACCTAACCTGTGAAGACTCGCACTTCGCATCAGTCACACAGGTCGAAGCTGTTTCCTGAGAGATTTACTATTAAAGGAGGAGTGTGTGCATTTAAAAACAGATGTTTGTTCCACCTCTCACCCTGCTGTCAGTCCCACTGTGGCTACAGCGAAGAAGGAGCCAAAGTATTTGAGAAACTCTCTGGACCAGGCCATCTGCATGGCCATCTGTCGCTCTCTCATCTGGTTCTGCATCAGGATCTGACGTTCCATCTGTGTGGAAATACGCAAACAAGGAAGAAGAAAATGGGTTTTTATTAACTGCTTGGTTCAAATAAAAACCAACAGAGCTCTATCTGAATTTAAAATAATTCATGTTCATCTAATACATTTTCTAAAATAAGCTAATGAAAATATAGGTATCTGTATTAAATTTAGGGCTGAAACAATCAGATTCATTATGATTAATCGATTAATAATCGTGAACTAATTTAGAAATCGATTAATCGTTAACTGGAGCATAAAGACTGTAAAACATGTCTTTAGGTGACAGAGGGACCAAATTAGAGCAGTACTTATATCAACTTTGTAAAAGAAATACATAAAAATCATGCATTTAAGATGAAAAAAACATTTTAGTCTGTCAGTGCTTTATTCAGAATTTTTCCGTTTCACCTTGTTTAATTTGGTCAAAACTCTTCTTTAAGGAACCTTTAGCTACAGTATCTGATTATTAATGGATTCATCGAAAAAACAATCCACAGATTAATCGATTTGCAAACTAATCGTTGCAGCACCAATAAAATGAAATAAAAAATAAATTGTCAGAATTTATTTTGATGGAATCATGTAATGAATAGGAATCATCTATTAAAGGAACAACAAAAAAATGCTTATATATATATTTATATATATATATTTTTTTATATATTTTTTTTACATATAATTTAATGGCTCAGGGTGACTGTAACAAACATTCTTCTTTATTTCTTTTTCTAAAAAACAATGTCTGCACCAATCAGAAATTGAAAAGGCAACAGCAGGTCATTAAGATCTCTAAACACATGCTCTCTTTCCTGTAGTGTTGATGTCTTCCGGCCTGATGAATCATCACACCTGACTTGTTTGGAGCTGAGGTTCTGATTTAACACTTTTGTTGTAGCTCAAATGAAAGCGCCTCTTTAAGGATATACATTGTTATCATGCAACAGAAGAGTGTTTATAGTTTCCATCATTTTGAAGCAGGTTGTATGAGGCTAAAAGATTCATTACTCAGGTTTAAATCATAAAAGCTCAAACTCATACAAAAAAAAACATGTGGTTTGATGCTCCTTTATATTAAATTAACTAAATAAAATCATATGTCAGTTTATGGGGTAAGCTTGAGATCGATATAGCTTATTACTGCAAGTTTAAAAGGTTTGTGCAGCTGCTGCAAATTCCGATGGCAGGTGAAAAGTCTGCCTTATCTTTTGAAGAAAAGAAGCATCATGTTGAATGTATAACTTTCTGTTATTTTGCATATTCTCCGACTTTGAAAACTTAAAGCTACAGCAAGCAGCAAAGCTGTGATGGAGCGCTTCTCACACAAAGCGTGGGTCAGACTGCTGCAGCCATGCTGATTAACCTCAGTAAGGTCAATGTTTTGTCTCCCGTTTCCTGTCTGACACGCACACTACAGCCTACGCCCATTTAGACAAATACATGCATCCTGCCTGATTGACTGACATTCTCCGTTAAAAAGCCTTTTATTTGCCAAAAGTGAAAGAGTCAGAGATGAGGTTTTGTTCGTCTCCCCCAACGAGGAAGAGACTCTGACCTGGTGATGATACAAAGCCACCATTCAGCTGAGCTGACGACGCGAGTCAAAGAGGTAAATTATACCATTTTCTTTGAACTGCGTTGATTTGACAAATTTACGCTGACAGGTCCTTTTGTGTCCCTGTGTGGCCGGCTGATCTGTTTAACTGCGTTAGAAATAAAATTGTACACTTTGCACAAAAACATCCTCAAGACCAAAGAAATAACATCTAATTTTTGGTGACAGATGAAATAAATGGCATTCTAAGGAAAAGTGAACAAAACAGAAATGTCTGCCTGAATGACTCCGAGACAATTTAATAAGGTTTTATAAGGGAGTTGGCTACATACTGACCCAGCATGCAATGTCTTTAACTATTAAACACGAGCATGACCACCCAATGCCTTCCTCGGGATGACAGTAGGCATGACAGATAGGCTGGAAAATGGTCATCAGCTCCATATGTGGTTTCGCTGGAAAAATCTTTTTAAGCAAGTCAGACAACATACTCAGCTTGTTGCTGCACCTCTTATTCTTTGAACAACTTCGTATCTGGCGTGCCTCATAATAGTATACCCTATTACCTTTGAATTACAATCAATAACAAGCAAATGTCTTTAGCAGTAGTAAAAACAGTGAACTTGGTGGCAGAGTAGAAAATGTTCAGCAGCTGCTGTGGAGAACTGTACATCATCAGATGCAACAGTCTCTGTTGGACCTTCTTCCAAACTGAATTTATGTGAAGACCACCCCA